ATGACCAGCTACACTCACTTGAGCGCCCGAATCGAGGATCCACTCTTTAGCTAGTACTCTTATCAGCAGTGTTGCCTCGGGCCACAAGAACCGAGCCAGCTTCGTCCAAAACATGAAATGCGCAGGAGCTCTCTACAATCACTACAAGTTGCATCGAACGCTCGCCTGACTCTCCGCCCTTACTACGCGCATTGCTCCTATACTTAGGGCACTCTTCATCACCTCGCCAGAGACCGATTGCGCCACATGCGTGGCCCTTTGTATTTGCCTTGCGGCGCAAACTATTTCCCGACAGCCCTATGGTAGCACTACGTCGCTTTAAACGGAGCGGTGGGTGATGAGCTGCGAATTTGACTGTAGCGTCTGGTGCCGCTCGATTTACTGCCATCATGCGAACGACGCCCTCCGCGACTCTTATTTCCGATAGCGCTTACGACTTGGCGCTTCATCCCTTGACCGCCACTGCTACCGCGATCGCCCCGCTGTCGACCGGTTTCCTGGTGTGCGTGCCCAGTGAGTAATTGCCACTCATTTGCCTCTTCCCATGTAATACACTCGTCTCTACGGAGTCGCATCTCTTGCTCACGCACCAAATCAGGATACACTCCGATTACATTTGGTATCAGTAAAGACGCAGTTTCATCTTCTGGTAATGACTGACCCAGTCGGAGCTTAAAGTCGTCAATGTCCTTGAAAGAACCGTCGACATTTATATCGCTTTGAAGACGGCGATTGAGCCCGTCTCACTTTAGAAGCACCACATTTTCTCCCGGATTGTTGCCGTAATGATCATCAAGAGTGTCAATAAATGTGCCGGGCCCACAAGATTGATGTACTCCCCCGAGCCACCCTTGTACGTCTGGACGCATCGATGTTACCAGCATGAGCTGCGCCAACACGCTGGCGAAAACACGGACGCTGGTCTTTGGTATCTTGATCACTAATGATTTCTTCGCCAGCTAACGGCGCCAACAAGTTGGAGATAACACATATTTCGAGATGCCACGACTTGTAATTTTCGTCAGAGAGCTTGTTGCTCAGGTCTACGTGGCGGTAGTTTGCAAACCGAGGGCAACTATGCTTACCAGTGCGCACTTCGGCGGGTGATACCGACACAGACCCAACCGCTTCTTGAACGGCGGCAGCAGCACCAGTAGCAGCCTTCGCTCCCTCCATTACAGTATATTACTAGCCGTTCGCCAGCGCGCGCACACGAGCTGTTGTAGTAGATGCAACGCCACGACTCTCACGGCGAAGTGCGTACGGTGTTGAGACAAAGGTGTCTCGCCGGGAGCGGCTGGTTGCGGCAAATTCCTGGATAAGCCTTTCCTGGGGAGCCGGTGTTGTCGCCACCATGTCCACGGCTCCACTTTGATTGGTCCAAAACGCTTGCGATCGATTCAAAATTAGTCAGTAGCCTATCGTGGTGCGGCTTGTCGCGTGCTAGCTGCGTTGTGTCGGATGAAGACGGCGGAGTCTGTACACAATGATCGCAGTCTTGTTGCACAGGGTGCTACCTCGTTGGGCTCATAACCTGAAAGTTGTCAGTAGACTGCCCTACACTTCAGGTATGTATGTAAATAGAAGAACATGACTATTTGTAGCGAGCAAAGTGAAAAAGGCTGGTGTCCTCACTATTTGGAGAAAACACAAGTGTAGATACTAACCAAAACCCCTGTTTATTTCGATAAAAAGCGCCGAGCCAGCATTAGCCCAGACTGATGTCCTGACTTGGCAATTTTAGACGAGCTTAGTTTCTTATGGAAGGTACTGGGTCGTAGAACCTAGCCAACCGCCTCTGAAATACGTTTAGACCATAGTTTTACGGTAGCGAGTCGAACAACTTGTCGGATCAGGCACTTAGTCGATTTTGGTCGCCTTCCGAGCGTTTTGCACGATTAGGAGCTTTCAATACTTATTTGCGGCATTGATTAAACAAGATTTGACAAAAACTAATATACCGGTAAAATACTACAACGTAAATTGTTCTTTTTGTCTCAATTAGGTATGCTTTACACAATGAGAGACTGTGCAGAGTATAATAGATTAAACAGTGCTGCTTATATTATAGGGACACTACATTTTTCAAACTGTACTCACAATACGAGGAGTTAGATGGTGCAGCTTACTCCAAGAAACACTTGCCTAATGTCTAACACGGCAACCATTTTTAAAAAAATGTACGTATTGCAAATTTTAAAATGAAATTGCCATTTTAGGGGGTGTTCTTATCTATGGGGACACCACCATGAATGGCGTTCGGACTTCGGCCAATCTCTCGTGCTATCCAGTACTTTCCTTTTCCATCCTTAAAGTACACTTTTACCCGTCCTATCTCCTCCTCAGGCAGTTTCTTGCCTCTTGGTATCGTGGAGGTGCCTGCGGATTCCGCGAGGAAGAAATGTACAGTTTGTAGCTTTATGCGTAATTTCAGCCAATCAAAACCAATAGTCGCTGAAGTATCCACACAAAAAGCAAGGACCAACCATCATGGTTACCATGAGCCATGTTTCTGCTGCTTATGGCAGCCTTCTTTACTTGGGTTTCAGCACAACCACCCCCTAGCTAAGCCGACAGGTCGAAGATGATTGATCCCGATGTGCTCATGAAGACCGCGTCACTGTCAAAAACCACAATTGCTACTTCATCCAACCGATTTTTAAGGCTCCTCGACACAGAAGTCCAAGATACAGTCCGTGGTGATAATGATGTAGACCGCGAGGACAGAGGGAATACGCCGTCGATATCCAAGGTCGACGATTTGATACACAAAGTATTTAAATCTAATCCGGAGAAAGCGCAAATCGAGGCATGGATGAAGTCTCGAGTGCACCCTCAAGCGCTTTTTGCTACTTTGCGTCCTGGAAAGAGTACGACGAAGCTGGACAATGACCCTGATCTTCTCCTTTGGTTTAAGCTCGTTGCTGCATTTAGAGCTAAGAAAGGCAACAAGGCGTTTTCGGATCTCGATCTCTACCACTTACTACTGAAGAAAAACAGTGCCGAAGAACTGAACATACTTTTCGAATCTTTCCTGAAGACTGGGGGCTTGAAGGATCTTGGCAAAAGTATGCAGAAATCTCTATCTGGTTCTTGGATGTCAAAAGCCATAAAGCACGAAACAAGCCCAACAATCGTTTACGATACCTTACGTCTTCGAGAGGCTGGCACGAAATTGGGTGATTCGCCAATCTTTCATCAGTGGCTCTCTTACGTGCAGAAGTATCGGGCGCAGGAGCGGAATCACTGGTTCGGAGACCGCGAAATGCTCGACCTGTTTCGAAAGACCATGCCGGAAGACGACGTAGTAACGCTGCTTCATTTGCTTCAAAACGTCCCGGGCATGAAAAACCATGGCGATGCGATGCAGCGGCTCATGTTTTTATCGTCTAAAACCAGCCGAAAAACGATGAGCGACGTGTGGCTAAAATACGACGTATCGCCCGAAGAAGTTTGGAAGATTTTGCGCTTGGCAGAGACCAATATGGACGCTTTAAACATTAACGCAATGTTTCATTCAGTGGTTCAGGTACGTCAAATTGTACAGGATCCACACAAACAAGAGCGTATACACCAGCGACAAAATTGTGCGCTTCCTGACAGAAAGCAAACCGTTGCGGTCAGACTGGAAATTTGCAACATTTTTTCAATCACTCAAGGACGTCCCTGATTTGAAGTTGTTTGCTGAGAACATGCAAACTAACCTATTCCAAAAATGTCTGCAACTGGAGTGGGACCCGAAGGCTGTCTCGAGTATGCTGGCAATTCCCTATCCTACTAGTGCTCTGCATCTGCCGAAGAGTGATCCTATTTACAAGACTTGGGAGGCATACACTCTTTATTTTTCAGAAAGGAAGGGCGGGGTGTTGTTGCTGAATAAAGTGAAGACACTTCTCGACAACGACAACCCGATAGGTGCACTTACCCAGCTATGAAAGCTCAGCGATCTGCTGTTCCGTTACTAGTGAGATCTTTTCAAGAAAATAAAAAATGACTCGAGGAATCTCTGGAGGTTGTTTCACAGTTACTGCAACGGATACGGGAACTTGATTAATAGGGTCTTTTACAATACCGACAATGCTCTTGCTGTGTTTACCAGGGCAACAGACTTCCATTTTTTTTTAAAGAAGCTGTTTTTTTTTCTGAAGCAACCAGAAAGTTCGGGCATCGTTAGGTGAGCTGTTTTCGGCATCTAAACAGCAAGTTCTTGAGTGATCTCTGTGAGCATACGACCAACTGCAAAGGCTTTCCCGGGATTAAATCGAGGGTGGGCGGCGTCTTAATGAATGTCCCAGACAGACCAAAAAATGGTCTCTTTCGAGATGTTTAAATGAAAACAAAGCTGGTGGTTTAAACCTAGTTCTGGGATAATGACACCAGCATACTTCATACAGGGTTTTACTGACTTCGCATTACGCTATACGTAACTTCAAAGGAGCTATATACCTCGCAGAAGAAAATACGCCTTAACGACTCTTAAATGGCCTACTGTACTTGTCCAAAAAACGCAGTTTAGGACTTGTTTACGCGTATTATATGACATCTGCAGTGTGTTATTCGACAGTCATTCCGCACGTCGTTGCCCGTATTGTATTGTGACTATAGTCGATAGGTTATCAAGTTTTAGAACTACTAGCCACTTCGTAAGGACACAAGACCAATCATGGGCTGCCCGAGATTGTGTTTACTTCCCGTAGGTTTGATCGAGGGTTACTACCTCAAATGCGATCCAAACCTCTGTCCACGGACAATACTTCGAAAACTTTAACTTTCTCCAACAGGTTGAGATCCCATATACGGTGTTGTGAACACTCTGGCAGTAAGGGTTTTCACCTTTTCACTCGTAGCGAGCTCTCGATAGAGAACTTGTCATCTTGCAGTGCGTTATTCGATAACTTTGCGTCCATTCCGCATGTCACCACCGGCATTCGGAGTGAGGTTATTATGTTTAAAACACACAAGCCACTTCGTAATACGACCACAAGCACACAAGACGATCCATGAGCTACCTGAGATTGCTATTTCCAGTCATCGTTGTCTTCTTGGGGAGAGCTTCACCGCATGCCCCCCCCCCCCGTGACCAAGCCTACGAGTTCAAGTTGACTAGTCCCAATGTGATCGTCGACACCAAGTCTTTCTCTGCGGGCAACAGGTTCCTAAAATCTCACGACGCAGAAATCAGGAAACCAATCGATGTTCCGGACACTGCTGAACGGGTTAATACATGTACGACCGCGTTATCGGTAGTCAATGACCTGGTGTACAAAATGACCAAAACGAGCCCAGTGGTCGGGAAACTAAAATCGATTATCACCGTCCAGAAAGGCTTTTTCAAGTTTTACCTCTTGGAATGGGTACAGCAAAATTGCCGAAGCTCCTGCTTTGGTTCAAACACGTGGCCGCCTTAAGAGTTAAAAAAGGCGATAAGGCGTTCTCAGATTTGGATATATACTGCTTGCTGCTGAAGACAAACAGTGCGGAGGAACTGACAGCACTCTTCCAAAGTCTTCAGAAAACACCAGGTTTCGAAAAGCTAGCCAAGAGTATCCAGAATTCGCTCTACTACCAGGGCATGGGAAATACAATACCCAGTGTTATTTTGCGTGAATCACATCCGTAATAAAGACTGCAATACCTGGCAACACAATAATAATCACTGCAATAATCACAATATATTGCGATCACTTAGTCTTCGATGCAACCGAGAAGGGTGGAGCAGTTCCACATACGGCGATTAGCACGAAGAAACATGTAACGGGGTACGTAGCACTAAGTGTACCCTGGTTACATGAAGTGTGACACTTCACACTTCAGGAGTATGACATGTCATACTCCGGGATATTTGGTACAAGGTACCAAGGTCATTCAAAACCAACCATTGGTTAAATGACATTGCATTTCTATAGGTAACTGATAGTTTGTATTAACCTCAAACTTAACCTACCTATAAATATACTCAGTTTACAATCTACCTTATTTAGGTCACTTCGCTCTCTTTAATTAAAGAGGGGACCTGTGAACTGCCGTTCACTGAGAGTTTGTATACTCTCGGAAGATAACTTCCTCTAGCGCAAGGTGCTGTGTGACCCCGTCACACTTGGTAGCACTTGTAGTCAATCCACGCCATCGCGGGTAGACTACCTGAACCTCCGAAGTTCGTTGCCATGGATAGGAACGACTTCTCCCATATGAACGACTCACAGTTCGAGTCGGTTCGGAAGATGGCAGGCATCTTCGGGATGGAGGCCCTGCAGAGCCTGGTGGTATCAACACCGGCTGAGCAGCTCGAGCGCGTCAATGCATTCGACGCGTACGAGCAGGGCCTCATCGCGCATGTGCGGGAGAACCTGCAGGCTCCGGCGGCGGAAGCAAACCCGCCTCACCCGAAGCCAATACGGCTGAAGGTAAAGCCGTATGAAGGGAAGGAAGGCGAGAACCTTCACTTCTGGGTCCGAGAAGTAGAGCTCGCGATGGACGCGGCTCTGATCTCGACCGAGCAACTGCGTGTTGCTTTTGCACTCTCCAACCTTAGCGGTCGTGCTAAGAGTTGGGTGTACACTCGGGAAGCGACATCCCCTGGATGTTTCACATCCTAAGCTCAGCTGTGCGAACAGCTCCGAGCCGCGTTCCTCCCGGCGAACTACGAGTACCGCCAGCGTTCGCGCTTCCTCGCGTGTAAACAAGGAAGACGCGAACTGCACGAGTATGTGCAAGAGATACGGGAGCTCACGGCGTCCCTAGTGGGAAACCCACTCAATGAACACATCAAGATGACTGTGTTCATGGACGGCCTTCGAGTGGGCCCCGCACGCACTCAGCTGTTCCGGGTGCAGGCAAGCACCCTTGAAGAGGCGATTCAAGTGGCTCTTCAAGAAGAATACAGCCATCGCCAGGCGCGTACGCCGGCCTCAGCGTGGCCTGGGAGTTCCTTGTCGGCTCCCGGTCGAACAAGCCCCAACGGAACAGTTCCCATGGAACTCGGGTCCGCCGAACAGCGTGACATCCGCTGCTTCGGCTGTGGGAAGATGGGCCACTTCAAGCGCGACTGTCCCGCGGAAAGACTCCGCAGACGGTCCTTCCCCAAGCCCGTCCTCAAGGGTCGCTGGCAGAAGCCAGGATCCCGGGGACAGGGGAACGCAGGGAACCAGTAGGGGCGGGGCGCCCTACTGGGGAAGAACTAAGTCTTCGTGATGGGTGCGCGGGTGGCGCGTACCACGGGGACTTAGCCCCTGAGAGTCTTCGCACTCTCGAATCGGCGAAGAGCAGCGGCGGGTTGCTCGTAGTACACGGATGTGTACGGGGGTACGATCACCCCTTTAGAATCTTGATTGACTCTGGGGCGTCGAAGAATTTCGCACGCCGCCAGACGGTTGCTCGTAACAGCAACAAGTTGTCCGAAGCTTTGCGAGAAAGCAAGGGCAACGGGACGGTGTCAGTGCGACTGGCCGACGGGAAGGTCGTCACTGTCCCCAACGTCCAAGTGGATCTGGCTGTCAAGTTTGAAGACTTTGACAGCCTCGAACAGTTCACTGTTCTCGATATGGATCCATATGATATGATCCTGGGCATGCCCTGGCTTGAGAAGCACGAGCCCTGGATCGACTGGCGAGGCAAGGCAATCGGGTGCCAGCCGCCCTGCGCAGTCCGACAGAGCATTGGTGAGTCATGTTCCCACCTCTGTCAGGACCCGGGGCGCCCGCGAGGGCCTGCCAGGGTACCAAAGCATCCGGCAGATGCTTGGGAGTCGTCGACGTA